AAAAGAACAAACATTCAATAACAAGTATTTTCAGGAAGAAAATACTTGTTATTCTTCAGGAATGTTCAAAATGTTTATTTTTTACTCTCACCTGCATATTTTTTCATTACACGGTATACAGTATAACTGTAAGACCCAAGACCCAACACTTGGGTCTTGGGTCTTACAGTTTAAGTGTGCTTTAATACTCACACTTCTGATGAAATCTCCCAAGTGTTGCTTTATTTTGATACTAAGATTATTTAAGTACATTGTTCAAAATGTTCAGGAACAACATTTTGAAGTAAAACTTCAGATTTGTTAACATTTATTAATGGTACCATCATGGTCTGTCCTGTGCAGAATGACTAAACACTAAAATATTTCTTTAGTAAAACATCTGTAACTTTGCTCCAGTTCATTTTAGCAGCATGAATCTTTGCACAGGTGATGTCCACAAGTGGGTTTATGGTTTCTAAGAGTTTTTAACCTGATTCATTATGGTTTTAAATGAGTTATACTGTATACCGTGTAATGAAAAAATATGCAGGTGAGAGTAAAAAATAAAATAAAAAAATTACGTTCCATCCCCAATATCCCTAAAACCACAGCAGCTGCTTTAATACTCACACTTCTGATGAAATCTCCCAAGTGTTGCTTTATTTTGATACTAAGATTATTTAAGTACAGTTTGTAAATGCTGAGAYACACTCAGTTACATTTTCGCATGGTGTTTTGAGCAAAAAGTTCAAGAAAACCCCTTGGGATACAAATATAACTTTAGAACTTAAATTAGTTTCTGGAAAAACAGAAAWTAAGGAGGCAGACAAACAGAGCAGCCTGCTGTAAAAGATTACCCACTCCTTGAAAAAAGGTCTTTCCTTCCTGACATCACCTGTGAGTTAAACATGACCCTGTTTGGTGCTGAAGAGGTTTATGATAACTCAGTCATGTGACTTACTGAGGGCATGCACAGCAGGTCTTCAGGAGTCACTCTGACATCATCTCGAAGCCGGTGAAGTTGGTTCTTACCTTCAGTGTGGGTCTGAAAGAGCTGAAAGGAAAATACAAATGAATATGAAGTTTAAGTCATGTGCACAGTTTACACACGGCTCTGCTTACTTCTTGCATTGGTTTAATCAGATTCAGGTCATACACCATGAAACCGTCCACACCTGCATTGATTTCCAACATCTTCAGTCTGAAACGAGGAAGAAACAACAAAGTTAGGGGGTGTGGAGTTGGAGGTTAGATGAGGTTGCTGGTTCAAATCCCCTGACTGGCAGAACAAAGTTTGGGTGGGATAGTCTGCCAGTTCCTCCACTCTTATTTTTCCTGCCCTGGACTCTTCAGCAACTAGAGRTGGGATAAACGGCTCTTTGAAGGGATCTGCATCTTCATGAGCAATTTGTTTCAAAGAGCCGTTGAATTTTGAACGACTTGTGTGGYTTTTACTTTTCTTTTAAGGGTAGCACCTCCTCATGATGTTTTCATGATGATCCTGCTCTGTGCAGGTCTGTGGCTGCATGACCCAGAGCACCTGTTCTCCCATGTTTGTTAAGGGCTCGACACACGGGAGGCGACGTCGCTCTCTCTCCATTCATTTCCT